AGACGCATCAGGGGGTATACATTTTATTTCGAACGGCCACTTCGACCTACCATCCTTCCCTTGTAAGCCTATACAGGGGAGGCCAAAAAAGACATTTTGCCCATGTCGCACTTCGGCCTTTTTTCTTCGCAGAGATTGCCGTCGTTGACGGAAGTTCCTCAGCAAAGTATTCCCTAAATGTCCCTCTATAAGTAACGCAGGCCCTCCTTCACTGCCCTCACCGTCTTCAGAATATGACGTCATCTGTCACCGTCGTCAAGCTCAAGGAGGCCTACCGTAACTGCTTCAGCCTGAAGCTCTTACATAATTTCGTGAATCGATTCAATGTTGGATAGTTTCCTAGAGACATTAGCTCCCACTATGCAAACCCCCTCGAAACTCGCTTTTCAGTAAATCGTTATGGTACACGATCCTTCGAAGACCCCATTGAGCTCGACCAGTGCACCATGTTTCCGGGGCAAATTTTTCTGATGCCGTCCACGTAGGTGGCCACTATGAAGATTTTCTTATAGAATGAAATGCGCTCTTCAATACTAAGTTGGACCATTCGGTTTGAATTGAGCAAAGTGTGATTAAATCCATCTGAAGTGGAGACAAAATGTCTTTTTTTTATTGCCCCCCCCCCTGTAGATATGGTCTAGTTACATTTAGACTGCATAACTTGAAGTGCTAGTCATCCTCCTTGTAGCACCTGGGCACAGGCCCCTGGGCTTAAACTTTTTTCCACACCGGGAGCGGGAGCAAAATACGACTCCCTCCATCAAATATTTGAAATGGAAGGATGACTCTCTCTTCTCTCTCAATCATCCCTCCTTCCCCTCTTCTTCCTCTTGACAAACGTTGGCTGTTCTCATTCGAGCAATTCTGCCATTCAAACAAGAATCGCGCCTGGCAGATACGGAGTTCTCATCTTTTTCATTCATAAAGTCCAGTTTAATTGCTCCCTCCGGGTAAATTTTTTGTTGACACTTCAAAATTTCTAGTAAACATGTTGCTGTAGTTAACTTTATTAACTTCTTTAGGCTGAACATACCTCGCAATTCTTCTAAGAAATTATGACTAGGCGGGAAAAGCGATAGCCAATACATTACAATAGGACGATAACATGTTATATGAGCTTCGCGTTCCAGCGTATCTTCTCGCGGATCATCGTAACCTTGCCATCTTATAGTGTACCGTAAAGAGTAATCCCTGCTCTGCAAGAAGATAACTTTGAGTTTACTGTTCTTTTCTCTCAAGCATTCCTACAAGAGTTGTAAGAAAAAATTTTCACGGAAGTACTTTTACTGAAATTGTTTCGTAATTATTTATCATTGATCATGAGTAGAAAATCTCGTTCCATGAGTGGTCCTTGACCCACAGTTAGCTTTTCTATGCACTTCTCAACTGCCATGTAACGCGCGCGCTACGTACTGTAAGGCTTACGGCACTACACGCAACTATAAAAATGAACATTTCATCAAAATGAACCCAACCGGGCTAAATTCAATGATAAACTAG